CTGATCAACTATTACACCAAAATCATTTTATTTCATAACACTGTTAAGGTTATTCCCATCCAAAAAACACTTGTAATTCAACTTATGATAACCCACATGCAATATTTTGCATTTATTATAATTAAAACCCATCTGCTATTTATTTGCCCAATTTACTAAATGATCTAAATTCTTTTGTAAATCAGTAGCATCCTCTTCACAGCTAGCAACATCCAAGACCTTATTATCATCTGCAGATTTAAGTAATATATTGACTATTCCTTCATTAGAATCAAATATTAATGCTCAAAAATGAAAAAACTTAGGTTGTATTCCTATTTCACACTATGTTCACTCTGGTTTAAAATTAGACACAAATACAGATCCAGAGTCATTGTTGTGTTACATATAGGCCTGGTCTGAAAATTCCAATTAAGTCCATATATCAGATGACCAATGTGAGTTAATGGTTTTATTTCAATACACACAATACACAATTAATATAAATCAACATTTTATTTTAACATTACTGAACTAAAAGTATTATATGAATAAACTTCAAGCAAAACTAACCAAAAAATTATAAAACATGACTACAGTTTTAGGTGAACCTACATTGTTATGTTATGATTACTAATAATGATTAGAATGCGTGTTTCATCCACTGGGGACCACTGATGCTAGCAATATTCTTAGCTGTAATTCCAATAATGTCTCATGAGGTTCAACCAGCTTTGAAGGTATAGGTTAGTCCCAAATCCATATACTAAACTAACAATGCAAACTAATCCCTTTAACAAAAGCATAATAATAATAAATTAAAATAGATATAGCAAACATTCTAGATAACACTGTTAATGAACGTAACATTAATGAAAGAATAGAGTATATTTTACAAAACTCAAACTAGTGGTCTGCTTCATACGACTGTTTAGCAGGATGGTACAGATAACATGGTACAAAATTAATGTTCATGAAAATAATAATAAAAATTAACAATAGTAATAGCCGAAAGGAATATACATGATTTAAGTTCACAATAATAACATCTAGAAAAGGAAGCAACAACAATGGTAAATATGAAAATTAAAGTAATTAGCAGAAGCTAATGTAATTTAACAATTGAGTAATGTTATATTACATAGGGAACTGTTTTATAGGTTACATTAACTATAAGAACTTAAACTAACTGGATCTAAAACTAATAAGTGTTTCCCTACCATAATGAATTATTATTACTTTAAATTTCTTTTGAAATAAGTTGAGTGTAAATATTAAATGTTGAAAAATTGTTAATTCCTTAATTGGTTGCATGAAGAATAATGAATTTTCCACAAAACTGAATGAATTTGATGTTAAAAATGTGGTAGACAAAACAATGTAAAAAATGAGAGTTTATGAGCTCTGTCCACAAAATACTATAACAGTGAACACATTCTACTGTATCTAATTAGCTATTAGTAGTAAGCATTGTAACATAACTTGGTTGGAATATTTGTAACTTTAAATATAAAAGTGTCTACTTCATAGAAAACTATGAACTTAAATGTTTGCTTAAGAGGGCACATTGACTGGGATATAAAGTCTTTTTTGCAGCAGTGAAGAAAATAGATAAGATAAGGCATTTATTTAATCAAATTTAATAGGTATTATTCAAATGTTGTTTAGAAAAAGATACTGTAAAGTTAATTTGTGAGTGGATATTTGTATATACAGATTAGTGTTGAATATTTAATATACTAAGCTAGTGAAGTTAGATCGAACCTGTTACACGTTAGTACTAATACTTGTAGAAATAGCACATTAAATATAATCTTAACTTCATTATACTTTACACTTAAAATTACAGTCAATATAATTACCAGCTATGGTTAAGAATAGTCTAGCTACTAAGGGTTCTCAGTTAATAAAGTGTGATAGATGCCAGGAGAGTGTTCTATTTATAAACTCTGAATTAAAGTGTACTTTTATGGAGGCTAGTAGCCAGGATGTACAATTTATTTCCAGAGTGTGAAGGTTAGAGGAGAAGTTGGAGGGTTTATTGGGGAGAGTTGCAGAGGTGGAAAGAGAGAAATGTAAATTGCTTGAAGTGGTGGCGAGACTTAGTGAAGAACTTAAACTTCTGAACGCAAAGGGTACAATTGGCAAACAGGATTTCAAGGGAGCTAATAACAGAAATAGGGCTAAAAGCTTGGAAGATAATGCACTTAGGAGCAAAGCTTGGCTTAGGTTTAGGTTAAGCAACTGGTTCCAAGCACTTGCTAGTGATGAGCGGGAGCAGGTAAGGGAAACAGATGGGATAACAAGGGATGACTATGTAAAGGCATGTAGATACAGTAGGATGTGGAGTAAATAGTAGCAAAAGAATACGCTTATGCTATCCAGGAGCAAGAGTACAGGATGTAACTAATAGAACCAGAGAGATAGTTAAGGGTGCTAGAAGCAATGCAGCTGTTGTGGTACATTTTGGGGCTAATGATGTAAGAAAAGATGGATCTGAGGAGCTTATTGATAAGTATAAAACATTGATAAGGGCATTTAAGGAAAGGGGTCATAGCTTGATTTTGTCAGGGATAGTGCCAAGAATAAATTGCGGGGATGAGATACCAAGTAGGTCACTAGGATTGAGTGCCAGAC